AAAAGTTTGCTGCAATATTGCAGCAACGAGTTTGCAAGAAAAATTTTATTGCTGATACCAATTTGTAGCAATGTTGCAGCAAATTTGTTGCAATTTTGCAGCAGGCCTCATATATTCCTAAAAGTATACATCAAAAAGTGAACTAAAGAAGAACTTGTGAAAAGGAAAAAAAGCCTGTGGTGTAATAATACATTAAGAACCCCTCAGATTATTACTGAGGGGTTCTTAATGTATTATTAAGAACCCCTCAGTAATAATCTGAGGGGTTCTTAATGTATTATTACACCACATTAAGAACCCCTCAGATTATTACTGGTACAGAATGTATCGCTAATTAAGTGTACTGCTCCATGTATAATGGCCAATGTCACGGGTTGCCAGCATCACAAATTCTAAATATGAAGGATCTCTGATGTGTATCATTTTTTACTCCTGAGTAAAAAGAATACTATTATATGATATTTATTACATACGTGCTTAACAGATAAACATTTCTTGGAAACTTGCACAGCTAGCTGGTCCTTAGTCACTTTACCAATTCCTGTAAAATTTTACCCAGTGTTATTGTTGTTGTTCTTTTTCTTCATGCTGCTATTATTAGTACCACCAGCGTGTACTTTTTGCCATGAACCACACTTCACAAATTTGGATTTGACCTTTTCCTTTTCCCCATGATTTTGTTATAAATTGTAATTTTCAACAAAAAATTGGAACTCTTGTTAACTGCATTTGGTAGAGCTTGTCAAGCACAACACTGGAGATGGTGTCCCTTGTTTTTCATACAAATGTGCTTACTCCAGCTGGTGGTACAATACTAGGAGGCGGTATCGCCTCTCTGATTCTCTAATTGATATTACTATTATTAAACTTTGGAAGTTGCACTGCTATATTCCTGGAGATTTGAATGAAAAGAATTATTAATGCTCTAAAACATACGAAACTATATCCTAGTTATGCCCAACCCCACAATGTATCCTCCTCTGTAGCTGATCATGAGTGCCTGTTTAAGGGGCAGCTAGGTGCATCACTAGAAGGTTTAACTGTATGATAGAGTTGATTTTTTGTCCAAAAAAGGAATGAAACAAAAATTGATTAGGTTCAGGTACTTGTAACTTTCACTGAAGTTTGATGTATTTTATGTGTATTAATTATGTGTATTAATTTCATATACATAGTTGAAAATGAAATACTTCGTAAGTTGTACATTTTAATATCTCTCAAAACACACATTTATCAATTAATGTATGTAGTTTTGCCTGTCACATTAATCTGGAATCACTATGTTAACTAAATTCTGACAATGTGTATGAACATAGTGTGTGGCTATATAATTATTAATTTAAAAGTCTTCTCTAAGGTGTAATTTTTTTTAACCCTCTTGTAATTTTAGGAGGCCCAAGCTTCTTTGATTCAATGGCCACCAAAGATGCCTTTTCTGCATATGCCTTGAACCATCTTCTGTGTCTGAACCAAAAGTACAAATTCAATATTACACCAACTGAGTTTCTGATTCTGGCAGCCATGACTTTCAGTGGGGGAACAAAACCAACTTGTGCCCCTGAAAAGAAGTTCAAATACAAACAAGTGAACCCTGTCCTGAGGAGTCTTATTATAGGCGGATCATGGTTTCAGGTACATGTATATGTACTGTATAGTAAGATAATTATGTATATTACATGTGTGTTGCATTGTTGATAGGGTTTGGAATGTTTGTCAGTTGTACTCTTTGGGGAAAGGTTTGAGTTAAAAAAAGGTTAAACTATACAAATATATGCTTTCATTGATAATATTACAATTGTTTTCAAAAATAATTTATATATTCTATCAGGGTTATTGCTTATTTCTGAGTCTTTGACCATTAAATGGAGTTATAAAAACAATTAACAAAACCTGTTGTGTAGGTAAAAATAGAGAAAGTCATTCGTGGTACTTGGGTTTTACTTCATATACCAGTTTTAACATGTATCTGCATTTTGTCATTCTTATTATTTTTAATTATTATACAGAAAGTGGTAGACTGGACCCATTTCCTTGCCCAGTTCCTGCAAATCAGTGAAGAGTTCCCAGAACCCAAGGATATATACATTGGACGCTACTTTATACTTTATTACCATTGGATCATTGAAGGTACTCTAAAAGAAAATTTCGAGACCCATCGTACTAACTTTGGATCGAACTAACTCCAAGGGGATTCTCGCTTAATTGCAATTAACTTTGGCTGCTTAGATGTCTGTCATGCCTGCTGAGGCTGATAGGGGATAATTAACTATAGTTTAGCAGCTTTAGTGGGCGTCCCAGATGTCTAAGCCATTTAGCAAGGGACCCCGTGGAGATTGACCAATTCTATTAGATCGATCTAGGGATGGGAACCCAGTTTAAGACGTCATATTGCACTATTTTCTGCTGAAATCTAAAAGAGAGTTACCTTGTGAAAATGACTAATATGCAATAAACTACTCTCTGGCTACTAATAGTCTTTTACAAAACTATTGTATTGGGCTCTGTAGGAATTGGTCAAGTTGTGGGGAAACTTTGGAACATTGTCCAAAACAACAGCCTCCTCAGTGCAGGTGTGAAAAGAATCTTTAGGGACTGTCTGAACAAATTCCATTTTGTTGAGGAGGCAGATGGGAATGAAGACTGTAGTATAGATGGAGCTGAGGAAGAGGAAGCTTTACTTGCAGATGATATAGGAGAATTTGACGAAGACCCTCAAGATATATTACATCCTGACTCCGAAGGTGCTTTTCAATGTTGTTCTAGTTTTGCTGTATCTTTGTTGCTTATACCGTCATGTGTCCTGAACTGGTCTGCAAATATCCTGGCGATGTTACGTAAACTGAAATATTTTTCTTTTGCACAACATCAAAATTCTTCTTGAAAGAGCCTTTCAGAATATATACTATGACAAGTGGTTTCAGTTTTATGATTATGTTCCAAAGGAAACCCACACAGCAGTTAAGTTTAAATGTAACACAAATTAGACAAATTCAGGACACATGACCATACATAGCTGAAAAAAAAGCAGTCCCTGCAGAGTAAGATTGATATACTTAGAATGATGTTTGCAATGGGAATGAGCCCTTAGACTTACGAACAAATTGACTTCATAAGTAATTTGTTCACTATGGAGGATTTAGTTTAGATCTCAAATATGTCTTTTCCATTGTAGGCTAAGATCTAGCTTAATTATAGTAAATCCTGCAATTAAACAGCATCTCGAGAAACACGTTGCTCACTTGATCCAACATTTTTGTCATTGCTAGAAATGTAAGAATTTTATTACATTTGCCAGAAGGAAAGCATTACTCTGTAGACAGTTTTGGTCAAAATAGTTGAAATGGATGCTCAGGTTTCTCATTACTAGTGTCTTTGTTTTCACTGAAGAAAATACATTTTCCAGGTATTGAGGAACTGCCCATATTAAAGTACAGAGACATAGTGATTGAGCATATTGCCACTCATCGTGTCACTTGTATAGAAGGGGAGACAGGGTCTGGGAAGTCCACTCAAGTGCCACAGTTTATACTGGATGACTACCGGAGAAGGTAATTAAGGAGAGGATTACCAAAGGGAAAAGTTACACAATGCATGTTAAACCTTTATGTAGTGCTTTTTGAAATGTGAAGTAATTCTATATTTTGATTCACTTGTACCTTGTGTTTGTTTACATTATTATTATTATTATTATTATTATTATTATTATTATTATATTTGTCTAGGTTGTTTGCCAGATATATTTTCAGATGTGACAGGAGTGATTGGAATTGTCAGTGAATTGTCCATTTGTTAGAAACAGGCTGGCTTAGAGTAGTCTGTATTGATTATCATGAACACAAGGCAAATGATGTTGTGGTCTTTATCGATAAATAAAAATAATCTTTATTTATTACAGAGGAGTGGGCAGAAAGCCCAGTATTATTGTCACTCAGCCAAGACGTATGGCCGCCAAAACCTTGGCAGAGAGGGTGGCGAGAGAGAGGCACACCACATTGGGGACAGAAGTAGGTTACAAGATAGGCCAAGACTACCAGGCCAGCAATAGCACCAGCATACTCTTTGTGACAACAGGGTTTATTATCAGGGTATGAAGAATTATATCTGAAAAAGAGAGCAGATTTATTTTACATCATACTTTTAAGTAATTCAAACTTTAAATTTTAAAATTTGTATATTGTTTTAATTTGTGGAAATGAATGAATGAACAAATGAATGAGTAAATAGATAAATAGATGTCGGATGGATGACAAATGTGACTTTTTTAGAAACGGTGTGCAATTTTTCAAGAATAATGCATTTCATGCCAAAGTTTTGTCTTTAAGTTGTTAAATGTATGACTGTAGCCAGAGATGATTTTTGTGCATAACTCTAGCAGATGGAGGGAAATGATTATTCAGTCTTATGACTATTACTACTATGACGACAACGACGATGACTACAGTTTTCATGTTTGTTTTAGGCCCTGGTTCATGACCCTGCCAGGCTGAAGACTTTCACCCACCTAATACTGGATGAGGTCCATGTGAGAGAACTGGAATCAGACATGCTCTGTCTGATCATTAAACTACTCACCCAAAACAATCCTGACATCAAAATAGTGCTCATGTCAGCCACCATTCAGGGGGATTTATTCTTGAAGTATGTCTGAAAAAACAGGGCGGAAAATTGAAATTTTATAGTTTTATCATTTTTGTCAGTTAAAATTTTTTTCCCTGTTTGATTTTCAACCACACATTCATTTACGTAGTCTAAGCGGTCAATTTCTTCATTATGAAAAGTGATTATTTTGCCACAGATCCATTGAATTTATTGTTTATCTTTTAGAAATGACTGTTGCCACAGTTTCCACTTATTCTCCCAGATATTTTTATTGGTTTCCTCTTCTGTTCTCCTTGATATTTTCACTCATTAATATAATGTTGCTGTATTTTGCCATAAATTCTCTCAATTTATATTCTCCTAAATATTATCTTAGATATTTTGCCTTCACTTATTATTTTTTCTATTTTTCTTCAGGTATTTTGCCAAAGAAGAGGAAATCAAACTGATGTCCCAGGCATCTATATTTGTTGGCACCAAGAGATATCCCGTGGAGCTGGTCTACCTGGAGAACATTAACCAGAGGTTTGGTTCAGACCTGACATCATTTCAGAAAGTGAAACTCGCCACTCTGATCATGAAGTACAACCAGACGACCCCAGCACACTACTTGACGTCAGATGATCCTAGGTATTAAATTCTTTATAACTGTTAAATATATGTGTAATTTTTGTTTTATGATTTAGGAGTCACCCTGAATGAAAAAACCGTGGCAGGACAACAAATGTATTGTCCTTTCAAAGTCTTTATTCCGACTGATCTTACATAAAATACAGTACTTTCTTCACGTCTGATCTCTGGTGTATCTCTCTCGAATTACGCGCCAACAGCTTTATATAGTATTGGGTCACATGACCCACATGTCACACAAAGGGCACTAACACCAGCTATACATATTCATTACATCTATTTATATACTTTAGCTTTACTTTTATTATACTTTAGGTACAATGTACTATTACATACTTACATATACATGTGAATACATGTACCCTATGACATAAATACGGCTCAAAGTAGAAAAATTGTTTAAAAAACAATTTTGAAATTAACTCTTCTAAATTGCATTTTTGTTTTTTAAGAGGACATTTGACCATACAAAGGTATCATTTTGGCCATACTGACCATTTCAAAAATATCATACCCTTTTTCAGTGACCAGCCCATTAAAGAGTTTTTACTGGAGTTGAAGGATGCTCATTTGTACAATGCGGTAGGAAAGAGGCTGGCAGCAAGTAGGGAGGCCAAAGGTAGCTCTGTGACAGATCTAGAATATGACCTGGCTCTCACTCTGATCAGGTTGTCTGCAGTACCTGGGGAGAGTATCTTGGTTTTTCTACCTGGTAAGTTCAGATATCTTGATGTGAGCATTTACATGCGTAACTCCACATTCATATCACATGTAATTTAACAGATGCGACATCAGCAAGTACATTTAAAAAGTGATTAATTGCAACCTACACATGTGATTTTGCTGTCTGGAATTTTAACATGTACTACACTGCCATTGCTTAAGTAAATACCATAAATAAAAAAAATTTAAGTGAGAAAACTTACATGAGAAAATTCTGATTGGTCAGAATTATGTGATTTTTTCTTCAGTCAACAGCTAAT